ACTATGTACTATTTTCAATCGAAGACATTTTGAATGTGCTATCTATTCCCATCATTTGCCTTTTATTTTATATCTGCGTAGCGCAAAGGAATCTTCACGTTAACTTAAGGTAAGTTTTGTGTCCTTTCCTAGCTTTCAAAATGTACTTCCTTACCTTCCAGGTGTTTATTGGCCCTGACTGGAGTTGGACATTTGATTTGTGCCTTACATAGATTGATTCTTGTTACCGCCCGTATGTGCTGCATTGCGCAGCAGGTTACACCTCTTGTGGTTTGTTTGAATTTCTGAATTTTTGCGATTTTCGGACATTCAGTCTCACTTAAGAACAAACTATTGGTGGTACAATATGTTGGCAACAATTTATCAGTGTTTGCCTGGCTTTTCGTGACCATTGAAAGAGCTTTAGCGACGGTATATACAAGCAAATACGAAAAAAGATGCAAACAGCGCATGTGGCCTATTTTATTGTGCAGTGGTGTGGTAAGTTTACCGAGTACAAGTTTCTACGCAGTTCAAATTTGTATCAACTTCAAGGTCTCTCTCGCAGCTATTGTATGCTACCTCACGCAATCAAATTTGGGTAAGTTCATTTTCTCACGTTGTTACATCGCTCGCAACTCACTTCCAATTTTTCAGTTAGAAATTTCGACTATTACATTATGGGAATCCACATTTCACTTGTTATTATCTGTTTTGTGGTAAGGTTTTTGCCAGCCTTGACTTAGTTTAGCTTAGCTCTCAATATAGAATTAGTTTTGTGAAGGAAAGCTTAATTAAGCAGTATCGCACAAATGCTCCTCAAAAACTAATATTAACTCTTACGCCATCTCGAGGGCAAATTCATGAAAGTAAATTTTACCACAGAAGGGGCGACAAAGCCTATTCACGAATTTCGCTCATCAAGGTTAGTCTAGCTCAGGCATAGAGCAAGGTTAAATTTACCCTGACACTTCGTACAATCACAAAGTGATTTCTGGATGCAGCACTCAGTCCTAGCGATGCTTTCTAATAGCAAACACAATTTCATAATAACTACTATCATCTCAAATCCATGTATATTACAAAAATTGAGATGAAATATTTATCTATTATCTATTTAGCAACGACAGTTGGATCATATCATTTTGTTTACAACGAGCACATTGGTAAAAATTTGATAGAGGGAGCTCCACATAAAAAAATATCTTTTCAAGTTGTTGAGCTTGATGTTCTTCAAATCAAAGCTATAGTTAGGTTTATACTTCATTTGAAATTGAATTTTTTACTGTACAACTCTGGTGAATCAAATACTGGTTGAAAGATATCAGACGAAGAGACTATAAGAGGCGTACAAGGCGCACCCTTTTCGATTCTTCAAGGAAGCCGCTCAGCCGATTTACTGTGTTTCGGAAAGTGATGTTTATGCCACATAATTCTTTAAGAAATATGCAGCACGGTATAGGATTCTTTGGTCACGAAGTTCTTCGGTATGTTTGGGCTGCTCGATTTGAAAGAAAATCCCTCGCGCCTTGTACGCGTGAAATTAGGGTAGTATCTACGAATATTTTTTGTTGTCAAAAGAGCATCGCTAGGACTGAGTGGTGCATCGAGAGATCACTGTTTGTAGAAAATATCAGGGTACATCCATCTTCCTATATGCCAGGGATGAACTTACCTTGGTTAACTACGTTCGTGATTACGGGTTAGTCGCTTTCTGGGGTAGAATCCAGCCTCAAGGTCAATTTTACCCTCGCGGTAAGGTTTTTGAATAAAGGTTAATCGCTTCCCGGGGTAAAGCGTACCCTCAAAAGTTTATTGATGAATGCGGGCACAGGCTAAATGTCGTGACCTAAGTCCGCATCGCTAGGATTTTGCGTTCAATTGAAGCGTGCTTGTCTGCTCTCTCTGCAATCTCTTTGCTTTTTCTGATTGGCGCGTATGCATCTAGCACTGCATGCACGGAAATTTCGTCCACGTTCTGGTCTGATCCCGTTTGGGAGAGACTGTGTGTAGGGGACAGAATTGGAAAATCAAGTGTCGATTACATTTGCCGAATTTCTCAGTTCTGTATAAATCACTCAAGCACTCAAACGTGGTGCACAAATTTCGGCGCGGCAGGAGAATAGGGATCTATGGCATGTTTTAAGTGCCGCCCGAAAAAAGTCAATCGTGGTTGTAAAAGTGCAATCAATTGAAGTTTATGAACTACAAAACTCGGGAAAAACACATTTATAATTTCAAACATAGTTCATGACGTCGTCCTTGATCGGCAAAGAACAAATGAATGTATGTGACATTGTTTCCAAGCAAATGATATTTATCGATAAGCTGTGAAAAGTTTGCGCTGTATTTATTTATGATATTGACTATAGGAATAACAGAAAACGGTTTATATCTGATTAGCTGAGTAAAAGCCTTGACCCTAAGTTTCAACATGTGCAGGAGCTGATTTTGCTTTGCAAAACATTGATTTCCGTTACGGAATAGTAAATTCTAAACAGCTTGATCGGATTATATTAATTTTTAAACAGCTAGGATTTTTGAGATTTTCGAACAGTAAAATATAGTCGAAATTCAAAATTGTTGTTGAGCGAGTACCGCACTAAGAATGCGACTTCTTTGAATAATCAGGAAATTCGAGTACTCAAATAAGTATTTTATTCGTTCCAAGTTATATATCAAAATTTTTGATTGCACGCGGCAGCACAACACATATTGATGTTTACACATAGTAAATGTTGCAGAACATGCAGAAGAAATCAACAGCATTCGTTTAGGCTCTGGCTATTATCATATTTTTCAATATTTCTGCGTATCGTAAAAGACATAATACGATGATGCAGTTGTCGAATCGGTACCAACTGGATGAGAACATACGCGGAAGCCAATACCTCATTCCTGTGGCACTCAACGATGTATTCGTAAAGGTGGGCTTCAATGAACTAAGAGATGTCCAACGTCACGAAATTCTCAAAATTCAAGGTCACTTTCATTTTGCTGATGGCATACTCTATCTTTTATACGGATATTCCTCTTGGTCTCGACACTACTCATTTGAGTCATGCCTATGACATCGTTAGTTCATCAATAAAGTTTTTCTTGTAGAAATAAGCCTTTTGGTTTAGTTATGGGCTTATCAGAGGATTTTCTTTGGACTAGCATTGACCATTCGCAGTCAGAAGCTTGATCATATTTTCCGAAGACGTAAGAAGACTACGAAGGCTATTGAAAAGCATGCTGCTGCCACTGATAAGTATTACGAAGATCTGAGAGAGATGTGGTCTTGAAGATGCGTATACAAATATTGTTTATTGTTCATATATATGTATAATATATCCAAGTGCAATGCTCAACACTGCTCCAAAAACTAATAAATTGCGTTTTATCTTGAATGTCTATTTGCGTTTTTCATAATCATTACAAATAGGATTAAATCTTTTCTGAAACTTCAAATGTGGAACACACAGTGCTTCCAAATGATTTGGAACCTATACTACCATCCTGTTTGTTTTCCTTGCCCATGAAGTTGGAACCGAGTAAAAATTGGAGTTTTGGGTGCTACGAATACGATAAGAGTCAGATTTTAGATTGTGCTTGAGTTCGAAAGGTGTTGTCGGTAGGCTAATCGTCAATATCGTAATCTTAAGCAGAGCGTCAGCATTTAGAAGGTACGAAACTGTTGAGTGGTGAGAACTACGAATTGCTCAAAAAGTAGTCCACTCAGTGATGCTTGTGGACGCCAATATTACAACATCTACTTCACACTAAACTATAATTATGATGCTTAGATATTTCACTTTTTATCAGATGTCTTCATTCTTGAATTAAAAAGTAATAAAAGACTCTAGCTGCAAACAATATCGTGAGATGCCTTTCAAAGTGATACTTTGAATTTTACAGAAAATTCTGCTTCAAAATTTTTTTGGCTAGTCTGAACTTGGCTTGCATAAGGTTCTTTAGCATAAATAAATTAACAGTTTAAACACTTCAAAGGCAGTGGCTTGACAAAGTCGAGGGCTGTTTTTGATGGTAAGTAAAACCCCCCAAGTACATCGTAGCCTCGGCGACGTGGCTTTTTCATTCCATATTCTTCTGATCTAGTATTTTGGAAAAAAAGAAGAAAATAAACTTTTCCGATTTTTGCACCTTACCGCCGTGCGGCGGACGATGCCGCACCTCAAAATCTGAAAGAGCA